TATACATTTAGCGGAAGCTCAAACTAAATGGCTAAACACTTAGATCACTCAGTCTGCACTGCATGTCTATTTGTCTCCTTCCAGTTGAAGCTACATCGACCAATCACATCTTATCACATGTACACATAGTAAGCCAATAAATAGTGCCTAACAAACTCCTCGAGACATGCCCTCAGCTAATTCCCTCAACATTTCCAAATTTAGTGAAAACACTAATTTGCTAAACAAAATATTTTCTATTCGCAGATGATGTGGTCCTGTTGGCATCATTGTGCCGTGATCTTCAGCTCTCACTGGAGCAGTTCACAGCCGAGTGTGAAGTGGCTGGGATGAGAATCAGCACCTCCAAATCTGAGGCCATGGTCCTCAACCAGAAAAGGGTGGATTGATCTCTTCAGGTTGAGGGTGAGGTTCTGCCTCGAGTGGAGGAGTTCAAGTATCTCGAGGTTTTGTCCACGAGCGAGGGAAGAATGGAGTGTGAGACTGACAGACGGATTGGTGCAGCATCTGCAGTAGCTGGAGTAGTTTGCTCAATACGAGTGGGCCAAAATCTCTAACGGTGCAGAGGTCTCATGCAGGGTTGTGCATCAACATATTAATTAGTCAGCGGTAAGGGTCCAGTTAATTTGTCTGTCATTTCATTTTATTTTATTTTGTTGAACCGCATTTCAAAAGTGATGTATGATTTTCAAGAGTTGCATTTTAGCCCTTCTCTTTACTACGTTTGTCAATTTCAATTTATTTCAGTGACCTATGTAGACTTGTCTTTCTTTAACATATGTCTATACATAAATTTATCAGCGTCAGTAGCTGTAACTTTATTTAAAAATCTTCACCATGTTTGTGTTTCCACTTCTTCAGCATAAAGTTACATAACAACACACACATCCTGCCATCCGTCCACTAGGCCAGCAGGGTCATGTTAAACTAATGTCCACACTGTCAGCCATAAATGAACAATAAATGCAACAAAATAGCTATCAGAGTCCAAACAGTTGCTCGCCTGAAGAGGAAACCACCCCTTCGTCTCTTCAGAAATGATGGGAGTTGCCAGCCGGGAACAAGAGGCAGAATGGAGCGTGGCAATGAGACGGACTTTACTGTTCATGTCTAATTACCATCAGCATACTCACATCGTCTTCTTTAGTGCCGCCCCAGAAGTTTGTTCCGCCTGCGTAGCTGGGAATGTTCAACACTGCGATTCCCTGAAGGCTGGGCAGAGGGATGTACTGCCCATCACACTGGAAACAACACAAAGAGTCGGTGTGACTGCAAATTCAATTTAAACTCTAGCATACTTAAACTTGTTTTGCAGCTTTCCTTTTCAACCTGTCAACATTTTCAACTTCTTACCCTGAATACAACTTTATTTCAGTCTTTTCTTTTTTTTTTTTTTTTCATTTAGCCTTTATTTATACAGGTAGTCTCATTGAGCCATGAGAACTCATTTTCAAGAGAGACCTGTTTAGGGAGCAGGGGCCCAGAGTGGGGCGAATGAGGGTGGGGGCAAGTGTGGGTGATTCACCTACCCCACCCACAATTTATTTTTAATGTTGTTGGGGCCGGGGCGTGAGCCAGCGATCTTCCGATCACAGGCCCACCTCCTTAACCTCTGCACCACCACTCCCCACAAAATCTTGCTTTCATTATTGCATATGGTGTAAAAATATATAAAGGAATTAGAAATGCTGAGCTAAATTCTCATAACAGAATATATTTCCACTATAACAATCTTCTAAGACATCCTGATGCATGCTCAATAATCCAGGTAAAAAAATCTAAAAAAGTTAAATCTGGTCCTCTGGACATTCAAAAAAAACAAAACAAAATAAATCAACAAAAAAATGTAGAAACGTTTCGTCTCTCATCCAAGAGACTTCCTCAGTCTGAGGAGCTGTATTCAGCTCAGTCTCTTAAATAGCACCGTCTCAGAGTGGATCAACCAGTTTTGCTGCTGACAACCAAAACCAGCTGATCACATGCTCAAGAAGGACCATCAGCCTAACAATGGATCATTAGCACACTGATGGCTGTTTACTATTCAAAGGGGGTTGAGTGATACCAGCAATCACAGCATTGTAAGAGGGGGACAGTTGAACCCGGAGGCCTCCACCCATGTTTAACGATGGACGGTTTCTTTTCACAAAGATGGCCTCCTTTAGTCCTCTCTCAAACCATCGTTCCTCTCTGTCCAGGATGTGAACATCTTCATCCCTGAAAGAGTGACCGCTGGCCTGGAGATGAGTGTAGACTGCAGAGTCCTGGCCTGATGATGTTGATCTTCTGTGCTGGGCCATCCTTTTGGCCAGTGGCTGTTTAGTTTCCCCTATGTAAGACTGATCACAGCCCTCCTGACACTGAACAGCATACACAACATTACTCTGTTTGTGCGGGGGACTGGATCTTTGGGATGAACCAGTCTTTGCCGTAATGTATTTTGGGGTTTAAAAGCCACTGGGACGTTATGTTTAGAAAATAAACGTCTCAGTTTCTCTGATACTCCCTCAACATATGGAATGACCACTGGTCTGGGTCTGGGTTCCTCCTTTTCACCTGTTGGCTGACTGGAGTCCTGTTTGGGTTTCTTCTCTGCTTTCAGGAAGGCCCAGTTAGGATATCCACATTGCTCTAGAGCCTGTCTTGTGTGAGATTTCTCCTTCTGCCTGGCTCCTGAGCTAGTGGGGACGCTGTCTGCTCTGTGATACAGAGTCCTGATGACTCCTAACTTGTGCTCCAAAGGGTGATGGGAGTCAAACTGCAAATACTGGTCTGTGTGGGTGGGTTTGCGGTACACCTCAGTTTGCAAATGTCCTCTATCAGAGACTGAGACCTCACAGTCTAAGAAAGCCAACCTGCCATTTTTTACATCTTCTCGTGTGAACTTGATGTATTTATCCACAGAGTTGATGTGGTCAGTAAAATGTTGGACTTCCTGAGATTTGATTTTAACCCAGGTGTCGTCAACATACCTGAACCAATGACTTGGTGGTGTCCCTGAAAAGGACGTCAAGGCTCTCTTTTCTACCTCCTCCATGTACAGGTTGGCAACAATAGGAGAAACTGGAGACCCCATAGCACACCCATGTTTCTGCCTATAATATTGCTCCCCATATGTGAAGTAGGTTGACTGCAGGCACAGTTTCAAGAGTTGACACAGTTGTTCTGTGGAAAGCGTGGTCCTGCTGCTCAGAGTGGTGTCTGATTTTAATTTTAAACTGACCACCTCTACTGCATCATCAACAGGAATGCACGTAAAGAGTGATGTGACATCAAAAGAGACCATTGTTTCATCAGTCTCCATGATGACATCCCTCACCTTATTCACAAAGTCCATGGTGTTCTGTATGTGGTGTTCTGAGCTGCCAACTAAAGGGATGAGTACAGACGCCAGATATTTGGAAACATTGTAAGTGACAGAGTTAATCATACTAACAATTGGTCTTAAAGGTACATCTTGTTTGTAGATTTTAGGTTAACCATACAGACTAGGTGTGGCCTCCCCTGGGTACAGTCTGTGGTACAGAAAACGGTCAATAGCCTTGTCCTGCTCCAAAACTTTCAGGCAATCTATTAACTTTTTCTTGTAACCACTTCCTGGATCTCTTTTCAGAGGTTCATAAGTGTTTAAGTCACTAAGGAGTGTCATAACTTTCTCATGATAGTCTTTCTGGTTCAAAATCACTGTGCACCTTCCTTTGTCTGCTGGGAGAATGATGATCCACTCTGAGACGGTGCTATTTAAAAGACTGAGCTGAATACAGCTCCTCAGACTGAGGAAGTCTCTTGGATGAGAGACGAAACGTTTCTACATTTTTTTGTTGATTTATTTTGTTTTGGTTTTTTTTAATGTCCAGAGGACCAGATTTAACTTTTTTAGAATCTTCTAAGACTTGCTGAGTACAATTCCTCTTAGTACATAAGCCACCATATTGTCCATAAACTTATCCATAAACTGTGTGAACTCATTCCAGTATTCCAGTATGAGCATGCATCAGGTCATTCCAGTATTCCTTTCTATGTACAAATTGTACAACTTATACAACCAGAAGTAAAAATCTAATTATTGGACAAAACAATCAAAATGTACAAGCAACACTGTGTGCAGGACTGCTGATTTGGACTGCGCTCATTGAAAAAGTGACACAGTATCTCCATTTACAATATAAAGCTAAATTTGTAAATACTGCGGAAATTGCGGACTGTAAGGTTGTGGCAGGGGCGAGCATGACCAGACAGCATTGGATGATTGTGTGTAGAATGACTCTTGTTGTGAAGAAGAGAAAAGCAGTAAAATCAGAGAAGAAGCCCAAATGGTGGAAACTGACGATGGAAGAAAGTTGTGAAAATTTCAGAGAGGAGCTGTTAAAGGGTCTGGGTGGTAAGAAAGAGCTTCCAAATGACTGAGCTACTACGAAAACAGTAATTATAGAGACATGTAGGAAGGTACTTGGTGTGTCATCTGGACAGAGAATGGATGATAAAGAAACATGGTGGTGGAATAGTGAAGTGCAAGAAGCTGTTCAAAGAAAGAGGTTAACCAAGAAGAAATATGACAGTGAGAGGATTGAGGAGACAGGAATATAAGGAACTGCAATGTAGAGCAAAGAGGGAGGTAGCAAAGGCAAAGTAGAAGGTGTATGAGTTATATGGGAGGCTGGATACTAAAGAGGGTGAGAAGAACTTGTACCAATTGGCAAGAAAGAGGGATCAGGCTAGAAAGGATGTGCAGCAGGTTAGGCTTGTTAAAGATAGGAATGGTAATGTTCTAACAAGTAAAGCGAGCAAGACCAGAAGATGGAAGGAGTATTTTGAAGAGCTAATGAATGAAGAGAATAAAAGAGAAAGAAGAGTAGAGGTCATAGAAACTGTGGACCAGGAAGTGGGAAAGATTAGTGAGAGTGAAAGCCGGAAAGCTCTGAAAAGAATGAAGAAGGGGAAGGCAGTAGGACCTGATGACATACCAGTGGAGGTTTGGAAATGTCTTGGAGAGATGGCGGTGAGGTTTTTGTCTCAAATATTCAATGGCATGTATGAGGGTGAGAAAATGACTGAGGAATGGAGAAGAATAGTGCTGGTGCCCATTTTTAAGAACTAGGATGTTGTACAAGGTTGTGGCAGTAGGGGGATTAAGTTGATGAGTCACACAATGAAGATCTGGGAGAGAGTTGTAGAAGTTAGACTTAGATGAGAGGTGACTATCTATGAGCAGCATTATGGTTTCATTCCAAGAAAGTGCACCACAGATGCCATCTTTGCTTTGAGCATGTTGATGGAGAAGTACAGAGAGGGTCAGAAAGAACTCCATTGTGTTTGTGGATTTAGAAAAAGCATATGACAGAATGCTGAGGGAGGAGGTGTGGTATTGGATGAGGAAATCTGGAGTGGCAGATAAGTATGTTAAACTGGTACAGGACATGTATGAAGACAGCAGGACAGTGGTGAGATGTGCTGTAGGAGTGACAGATAGCTTCAAGGTGGAGGTGGGATTGCATCAAGAATCGGCTCTGAGCCCCTTCTTGTTTGCTCTGGTGATCGATCGACTAACAGATGAGGTCAGGCAGGAATCCCCGTGGACTATGATATTTGCAGATGACATTATGATCTGTGGTGAGAACAGGTAGATGGTAAATGGTAAATGTACTGTACTTATATAGCGCCTTTCTATCTTATTTCAAGATACTCAAAGCGCTTTACAATACAATCTGTGTCCTCATTTACCCATTCATACAGCACTCTATATCGCTACAAAGCTAATTGAACAAATCATTCTAAGGAGACTAATCAGTGCTTTTTTAGATCACATTCATACACCGATGGGACACACATCAGAGGCTATGAGGGGTTCAGTGTCTTGCCCAGGGACACTTCAGCATGTGACTGCTGGTGGATTCGAACCCCCAACTCTCGCATTGGAGGATGACTGCTCTAACCACTCAGCCACAGCTGCCCCCAGGTAACAAGTGGAGGAGAACTTAGAGAGGTGGAGGTATGCACTTGAAAGAAGAGGAATGAAAATCAGCCGTAGTAAGACAGAGTACATGTGTGTGAATGAGAGGGAGGCCAGTGGAACAGTGAGGCCACAAGGAGCAGAGGTCACAAAGGTGCACGACTTCAAGTATTTGGGGTCCACTGTTGGGGAATCTGGTAAAAGATGAAAAAAGAGTCCAGGCAGGATGGAGTGGATGGAGAAAAGTTTTAGGAGTGATTTGCATCAAAAGGGTGTCAGCAAAGGTCAAAGGAAAAGTTTACAAGAAAGTGGTGAGACAAGCTATATTATGTGGTCTGAAGACAGTGGCATTGACAAAAAGCCAGGAGAAGGAACTGGAAGTTTCAGAAATTAAGATGTTGAGGTTCTCCTTAGGAGTGAAAATGGATACAATTAGGAATGAGGTCATCAGAGGTACAGCACAGGCTGAACAAGTGGGAGATAAAGTTATAGAGGCCAGACTGAGATGGTTTGGACATGTCCAGATGAGGGACAGTGGGTATATTGGTAGAAGGATGTTAGAAACGCAGCTGCCAGGAAAATGAAAAAAGAGGAGATATATGGATACAATTAGAGAGGACATGGAGGTAGTTGGAGTGAGAACAAAGGATGCAGAGGACAGAGTGAGATGGAGGAAGATTCACTGTAGCGACCCCTGAAGAGGGAAAAGCACAAAGAAGAAGAAGTAGAAGAAGAAATTTGATTTCACTTTGACTTTAAATAAGTTTTCTTTGCCCAGAAGTCCAATTTATTGGGCTCTTCGACATTTAATTATTTTTTTATTGAGCATTATTAATTTGTAGTAGCAAATTACACATTCAACAAGGGGTTAATATATATTTTTATAGGAACTGCGTGCATATTTGTTTCACATCAATCCTGCTTGGAGCAGAAAGTGATAAAGAGGTTGGTTTATACTGAATTGTTGAAAATATGTTTCAGACACTTTCACTCAGAGTTTGGTAATGCAACACCTTATGACTTGACATAATTTTGACTAAACAAACATGAGTTAAATTTATTTACTTGACTTTTGTTCAACAGACCAAAACTATTTATGTTGAACAACTTTATTTTAGAAGCTGCGTGAAATTAAAAAATGTGACCACGACTGCTCTTGTTGTGAAAAAGTAGATCAGTCCTTTGTCATTTTAGGAGACTCCTGTGATCAAAATGCAAGTGATGTGTAACAGTTGCTTTAAAATAATTCTGTTTTATTTATTTCTAATTTATTCTAAGGATATAAAATGTTCAGAATCATGCAATACCTTACATCTACTCATACTTGATAATGTTTAAAGAAGTTCAGCAACACTCCTGCTCAGTGTCTAATTCAAAAACTCAAAGCTTCTAAAAAAGTATTTTCAGTTTGGGAAACTCTGAGTGCCAGGTAATATTTTTTCACCTCCAGCTGGACTTTCTGCTCCAGGTTCTTGTACGTTCTTTGCAAAAGCTCTTTAGTGCCCAAAACGCCGTACCACATCATGTTCTTGGTACGGCTCCTGTGTTAAAAAGATACAGACAGGGAGAGTAGTGTGCATTTGCTGGTCATGCAGATTGACTATGCTTGTTGGTAAAAACAGAACCATTTCTCACCTGCATTTTTCTGGATGCTCCTCTCGCTTATTGTTGAACTCCAGCGAAATCTTAGCATCAAGGCCAATGCCGAAGTAGTTGTTCATGACACACTTCTCCATGTAGCCGTCACTGTGCAGAGAAACAAAATGCCTATAAATTTACCCACATGTCAAGAAGGGTCAGACAGAGGGAGACAAAAACAAAAAAAGGCAAGAAAAGAAAAAACTCTCACAGAGAGTCCAGATCGGGGTCGATGAAGGGTGTCGCACCGAAGGGGTCAATGTTAGCTAGCAGCATCTTGCTAATAATGGAACTGCCAGCAATGGAGGCAGCCAGCCCTGCCCGCAAACCTACAAACACACACACACACACACACACATACACACAAACACAAAACAAGCATGAGTGATTGTCCTTGTTGATGAACTGTGAAAAGGTTGTATGTGCGTGTGTTTACCAGGGCAGATGATGCGTGTGTTGAGCACAGGGAGGTTCTCCTTGCTGGTGGTGAAGGGGGTGATGGTGAAGGGGCCGTAGGATTGGGTGCTGCGACTAATTCTCCTCTCGGTTGGAGAACAGGGGCTTTTAGCAGCTGGTCACAGAAATAAAACCACTCTTCAATCTTTTTTGTTTTAATCGAAAGAACTCCAAGGTGCAGCCGTCATTAAGCAAAAGGAAGGTTTTAGCCTTTGAGTAACCAGTTAATCTAACATACATGTTTTTAGAGTGTAGGAAACCATGAGTACCTAGAGATAACCCCCACATACATGAAGAGATGATACAAACTACACAGAAAGGTCCCAACACGAACCTACAACCTTATTGATGCAAAGAAAGTGTGCTAACAAGCCATGCAATCATGGTTCCATTGTTCCTCTACTTTGTACTTGGGGAAAACTCTGTCTGTCTGTTAGCAAAATATCTCATGAACCGGTCAACAGATTTGAATGAAATTTAAAAAACAATAAAAATAATATCAAATCATGGGAAGAACATCAACAACATATAACTTTTTGGAGTCACCTCAATTCAAGTTGGTTGTCAAAACTGAGCACAAAAACACAGAACTGGCTATGACTCCATTTTATAGACCTGTGTGCTACTAACTAAGAATCATTTCATGGAATACTCTGAGCGTAAGATCATTTTCAAGGTTTGACCAAAACCACTTCAATTTTGTAATTTCGTAACAAAAGATTATATTTGTTCTGGCATAAAAGTGGCATGCTTTCCTTAAAGGAAATCTTGGCTTTTAATTTTTAAAATTTTAAGAAAGCAAGGTTGTTAAAAAAAAACAAAAAAATTACAGCAACATGGACACGGAATGGAAATGTTTGGATAAAAGTAAAAGAAGGACAACAGGCTAAAATAATCAAAGAACTGAAGGAATTGGAAAAATATGGATAAACTAGAGATGAGATGGTAATAAATATTAGTCTAGTGAAAGAATATCTCTATCAATGATAGAGAATGAAGATTCAGAACCGAAAATATACAGTGTTGATGATGAGATTGATGCAGGTTTTTTTCCAATTACCAAGGATTGTGAATACTACAATGAAAAACAGTTTAATGATTTAAGTTTAACAAAGTCTGGTCTATCAATAATCCATTTCAATAGTAGGAGTTTGAATGCAAATATTTCTATGATAACTGACTACTTAAGACAATTAAATAGGACTTTTACAATATTAGCATTTTCAGAAACATGGTTAAATGATGAAAATATAAATAATGCCCATATTGATGGGTATGAATTATTTAATATGAATAGAATTAACAGGAAAGGTGGTGGTGTGGCTCTATTTGTAAATAATTCGGTAAAATGTAAATTAATTGATGAAATGTCAATTATTGATGATAACATAATTGAAATGGTAACAATAGAAATAAATAATAAAAATGATAAAAACATTATAATTAGTTGTGTATATCGACCACCTGATTCAAATATAGAATTGTTTACAGATAGAATCATAGAACTACTAGAAAAGAATTGCAATAAAACAATATTTTTATGTGGTGATTTTAATATCGATTTGGGGAATAATAGAGATTCTAATAATATCAGTACATTTATAGACTCCATGCATACTTTAAATCTTTACCCATTGATATCAAGACCAACAAGAATCACAACTCACAGTGCAACAATAATTGATAATATATTTACAAATACAATAAATGGGGATGTGACTAGTGGTATTTTGACGACTGATCTCAGTGATCACTTACCGGTTTTTACAATATATAATAAGTATCATAATATTATGAAAATAACTGCTAGTATGAAAAGAAAAATAAATACATCAAAAAAAGCTTTAGACAAATTAAAAGATGATCTTGTTAAACAAAATTGGGAAAGTGTGTATGTTAAAGATGTAAACAAATCATACGATATGTTTGGATATTTTGGAAACTTTATATGAAAAGAATTGTGTACAAAAAAACTATACCAAAAAGAATATTGTAGACCAACAATGGATGACTAAAGGATTGAGAAACGCATGTAAAAAGAAGAATTATTTGTACTCATGTTTTTTGAAATGTAAAACACAAGAGGCAGAAGATAGATACAAGAGGTACAAAAATAAATTAGTAGGGATTATAAGAAAACATAAGAAAGAATATTATAGTGATTTATTGAATAAAAGTGGTGGAAATATGAGGGCCACATGGAGAGTAGTGAATAGTGTTTTAAAAAAACATGTAGTAAAAACTGGTACCTCACAGAATTTTGTAATAAACAATGATGAAATCAATGATAAAAATGAAATTGTTAATAAATTTAATCAGTATTTTGTGAAGATTGGAACAAACCTTGCAGCTGAAATACCTAAAGTTGACAAAAATGTTAACTATTTAATTGAGGATTGTTTAAACAGTATGTTCCTTAATGGGACAAATAATGAAGAAATAATAAACATAGTTAATAAATTTGCAGATAAAAAATCCAAAGATTATATGGATATGGATATGACATTTGTAAAGGACATAATAGGTCATGTAATTGAGCCATTTACATACATATGTAATTTGTCCTTTACAACAGGAGTATTTCCAGATCAAATGAAAGTGGCGAAGGTGGTTCCTCTTTTCAAAAGTGGTGATAAATGTTTATTCAATAATTACAGACCGATATCCTTGTTACCACAGTTTTCAAAAATATTGGAAAAACTATTTGTTAGTAGATTGGACAAATTTGTTGAAAAACATAATATTCTAACTGACAGTCAATATGGGTTCAGAGCAAATAATTCAACATCTATGGCTCTTATGGAATTAATTGAAAAAGTATCAACAGCTGTTGATCAAAAACAATACTGTGTTAATGTTTTTGTGGATTTAAAGAAAGCATTTGATACTGTTGACCACTCTATACTCCTTGACAAGTTACATAGGTATGGTATTAGAGGAGTAGCGCTGCAGTGGGTATCTAGTTATTTGAGGGAAAGGACACAGTTTGTTCAGATGGATGATGTGAAATCTGATCACAGCACTATAACATGCGGAGTTCCTCAGGGATCGGTGTTGGGACCAAAATTGTTTATTTTGTATGTTAATGATTTGGTTAAGGTGTCTGGTCTCCTTAAATGTATTTTATTTGCTGATGATACCACATTTTTTAGTTTTGGTAAGAGTATTGAACAAACAGTGGAATTAATGATGACTGAACTTGATAAAGTTCAGTTTTGGTTTAAACTTAATAAATTAACATTAAATTTAGATAAAACCAATTATATGATTTTTAGTAATAAAAATAAATCTATTGATGTCTCATATAAAATTGATGGCTCCGAAATTCATAGAGTCCATGAGGCGAAATTCTTGGGTGTCATAATTGATGACAAACTGTCCTGGAAACGACATATAAGTTCTGTTAAAATGAAATTATCTAAATCTATTGCAATATTTTATAGAGTTAGGGATCTATTGAATGAAAAGGCACTTTATTTGTTATATAATACAATTATTGTTCCACATTTGATTTATTGTATTAGTATTTGGGGAAAGGCATGTAAATCAATTACAAAGCCTATTTTTGTTTTGCAGAAAAGAGTTTTAAGAATTATTACTAGAAAACATTATCGGCATCCATCAAGTATATTATTTTATAATACCAAATTGCTGAAGTTCTATGATTTGGTGGATTATAATATATTGTCAGTGATGTATAGAGCGCACAATAATGTTTTGCCTTCGAATATCCAGGTGTATATTGTTAAACGATTGAGTTGTTATAATCTTAAGGGAACAGACATGTTTGTGAAGCCCAAGTATAGAACTACTTTAAAAGGAAGGTCTACCATAATTCAAGGAGTTGGGTTATGGAATGAATTACGAACTGATGTTAAAGAAGCTAAATCAATGCCTATATTCAAAAGAATGGTCAAGGATAAATTGTTGAAACAATATATTTGAAATGAGTTCAAACAGTAATTCATTGCGATTAAGGAAGTTAATGTGTTGTTTATCTCTTTTTTGTATTCAAAGGAAGTTGTTTGTTTAAATTGTTTATCATAAAATAAGGGGCAGATATGATAAGATTTTTTTCTTCATCTGCCACCTTTCATTTTATAATTTTATTTCTTTTGTTGTCTGTATGTTAATTGTTTTGTGGTTTTTTGTTATTATAAAATGAATTAAAAAAAAAAAAAAAAAAAAAATTTTAATCTAATTCCAGACTAGATTTGTTCTCAACTCCCATTAACATCTCATATGTCCTCCGTGAGTACAAATACGAGCAAGACCAGTAAATGTTCTGAACCAGACCCTTTTCTTCCTCACACCCATGTGCTTCCAGGTCAGCGAGGTTTACAGATGTAAAACAAGAAGAGGGGATGACATGAAGCAGAACGTTTGACTGATACCACCTTGTGTTGGAACGACTGGAAAATGTGTGAAAGGAAGAAGCAGGTCTCCAATAAACAGGAAGAACATTCGCCCCAGAGAAAAGAATCCATCAGTGACTGATTCGTTGGAGTAAGTTGACTGAGCTCACACAGCTCGACTTGCCACTACATTTTCAGGCTGGTGCATTTATTATGAAAGAAGTTCTCTGCTACAACGGACTGTTTGGAGGCTGAAGATCAGGAGATAAACAGCTTAGCTAGAGGCAGGAGGTGGAACATCAGTCTCTACTGACTTTTAGCTCTAACTCTGGAGTTTATTTATGACAGGAAACATGATTTGCGTCAGCAGACCCCTTTTTTCCATGAGCTATGTGTCCACTCTGTGGTACAGAGTGAAACATCCACAAGGTGACAACAGTTATATCTCCTCTGGTTTGCAGTGTCTGAGTGTGGTCCTAAGGACAGGAACAGCAGAGGGGTTTTTTGGTTTGTACAATAAATTATTCACTCAAAACACCCATATCTGAACAAAATATATTTTAAGAGTTGTCACTGAACACTGCTGGAAAAACAGAAAAAACTGGGTAAAGTACTGAACACGTTTCAAAAATGCAAAAAAAACCCTGTCCCTCTAGATTGAAGATCAGAGTCAGAGAGTTAAAAACACTCACATGACACAGATTCCAATTCTTTGGTGTCTTCGTCCTTCTCGCTGTCTCTGTTCTCGTCCTCGCTGTCCTTCCTGAACTCCAGGGATGATGGAAGCTCTGTGTCCTCTGTGTGGGCGTTCTGCTCATCAACCACTGAGCACAACAAAACAGGAAGGAAGCACCACAGGTTTAGCTTTAACACGTAATATCTGAACTCACCGTCTCATGAACAACTGCTCCTCAAGAATAAAAAATAAAATGTGAAGGCCTAAAGATACAGTTGATATCACAGCCATTCTGAACGAGGTGTGTGTGTGTTTGGGAGGGGAGTATTTGAATAAGCTGCTTATATTCAGCCATTCACTCTCTCACTCTCACCTAGAGACAATTTATAGAGTTACCAATCAGCCTAACATGCATGTTTCTGGTCTGTGGGAGGAAACTGGAGTACCTGGAGGAAACCCACATATGCACGAAGAGAAGATGCAAACTCCACCCCGAAAGGTCCTCGGCCAGCATTCGATACAGCGATCTTCTTGGTGAGGGTTAACAGCTCTACCAACTGAGCCACTGTACGGTCCAGTCGAAAAACACTGAAACGGTAAACTTACTGGTCTAGCAGCACTTTGCCAGGAGTGTCTGTTTACAATCCACACTCTGTCTTCATGGTAGACTTGTGTTCGGGCCCAAAAAATCAGATCCGATCTGGCCCCAGCCCGCAGCCATCATTTACGAACCCGACCCGAGAAATTAACAGTAATTACAGGTCCGAACCCGTTAAAAAACCTGACATTTAAAATTAGTTATTAACAGTCGGGGACAGGCGGCTGAATAAAAGATGCAGAAGATTCTGAGCTGAGGGGGTGTTTGTCCTTTCATGGTTGTCAAAGCACATTGAATCCCTGCTTCTGCCTGCATTCTGCATTATTCAAACACAGACCCTACTCTGACACGTCTGCTTTGGCATCTCACATGTTTGGGTCATTGGCCGTGCATGTCCGCTGAGTGCAGCAGCTGAATGAATGTCCATTTGGGCGATGGATCGCTGGCAGTAGTCCATCTGAAGCTTAACTGAACCTTTTACCTCTTTCAGGGCCGGTCAGCTCGTGGTGAAATGCCCGTATGCGGCTGGTGAAGGTATGGCAGGCCATGTTATAAAATTGGATTGCAGCTGATCCTGACCCAATTAAAAGCCCAACACTGACGTGGCCCACCCATCCAGCACATTATCATGGCCTGGCCTGGCCCGCTCCGAAATTGGGTCAGGTGGGGCCAGGCTTAGGGCTCGGGTTAGAAATGACAGCTCTACTTCATGGTGCTCCATTCCCCTGCTTGACCCTTAATATGCACTTTTGACAGATGTCTTCTTGATGTTTCATTTTTCTCACTTGTTTAGCAGCAGATTCACTCATGTTTCTACCTGAACATCTTCACAGAAATTCTACACTTGTGTGATTCTGCCATATTTGTTTACTTACATGGACTATGACCAGCATAATGTAGGTCAGTCACATGACTCAAGCGCCAGTTCAGCTGGAGCCTTGTTTACACTGAGCGCATACCCAAATTTGACAACTGCATATCAATAATTTAAAAATGTCTACAAGAGTAAACTCCTTCAAACTGCACCATTTGATACATTTTAGGATAATTTTTTTATACTTATACTTATAAAGTATAAAACTTAAAGTCAATTTTTCCAAATAGAGCCAGTTAAAAAAAAGAACTAATCTAGAAGGAGTAAAATATTAAATAGGTTATAAATTTTGCATGGAACCATACTTTAAAATGGCCAGAATTTACCTTTAGTTATTCCTTTAAAAAAACAACTTCATAAATACCATACAACATACCTCTCACAGCCTGCTCGATGATCTGACGTACAGCTTTCTTCAGACTGTTGGCTCTGAGCATCAGCTGCTCCCTGCTTTTGAACAGTGGGGGTTCTTCACCTCCCTCACCCTTCTCTGTCAAATCCACCTCCAGTTTCTCCTTCAGCTGCATTAGGCTCTCCTCACTGACCTCCTCTTCCTCCTCCTCCTCATCTTCTTCCTCCTGCTCCTCCTCTACAATTGGGGGAGTGCAGTGGGGAAGTGGAGGCAGAGGCTGGCACTCTGCATTGAGGGTCTGGAGGAGGGAGTCCAGTTTCTCATTCAGGGTGGCACACTGGAGGACACAGAGGGGGACACAGTCAGAGTTAAATGAAGCTGCTTCTCAGCACAAGCATATGATGAATGCTTTGCATCGTTTTTGTTACTTACTTTAAGAGTCATTGTGTCACACTCATCAGTGTTCTCTGTGCTTTTATCATATGCTTTGCCCACTTTAGCAACAAAATCTTTCACAGTTTCACACAGGATCCTAAAAAAACAAGAAACTTTTTATAATCCAGACAAAGCCTTCACTGCTATTTCTGTAGTTCAAAAAGATAAGCACATCTAATTCCACTGCACCAACAGATAAAGATATGTTATGATCAATTTGTCAGTGAATTGTCAATAAATACTTTATTGCCCATTGTAGATTGCTCAATGAACAGTCCTAGTTTAGTGAAATAGACTTTACATCTGACAGCACTGATGAGCTAACAGCTACTCTGAGCACAGTAAAAGACAAAGAGAAACTGCTTTGATTTCCAAGATTTCATAAAGGCTCCTTCAACACTATTTCTTATATCTTTACAGTATATCACTCTTCACATTACATGGATAATGGTTTTTGCAAGCACAAATAGTAACAGCAGCAGATAGCTGAAGCACTTCCAGTACAGCCCAGAGTGTATTTTAGCAGATTTCATGATACTGTAGTTCTCCTGAGATAAATCTTCTGCCGTATTAAAATAATTCCAGTCTTCAAAGTTTCACAGTACTTCATGCAACTATTGTCATTAAAACTTTTACACTGTCACCAATTTCACATTACACACATTTGTTTTATAATTCATGCTGGAATAGACCCAAAGCTGCACTGGAAGTGTTCACCTCTGCAAAACAAGTGCTGCTGCTGGGGTAACTGAAGTGGGTGGAATCAGAGTCACTGCTCTGAAATGGTTTAGGTCCTATTTATCCAAACAAACATTGTGTGTTAGTCCTCGTTGTTTAGTATTCTTGTCAGCTCCTCTATTTTGTGGTGTACCACAAGGCTCAGTTTTGGGCCTTCTTCTCTTTACGTTTTTCCTCCTTCCACTTGAGCTTACAACATTTGGCATCTTGTTTTGCATCAAACCACTCGGCCATTCATTTCACATCTAGCTGCCATTGTTGGTCAAATGCACCTTTTCAGAAGCCAGAGTCTGAAGAAAAACTTGGTGTTCTTAAACAAACTTTCATGGAAAGATGAGAAGGAAAGTATAAAGTGGGTCAGTTGCATGTATTATTAGAGTTCCAAAGATGTTAAGATTGTGTCCAGACCGACACCAACAGAGAGCAAAATGGGTAAAGAAAATGATTTAAGTGATGGTATAGTTCATGTTCATTATGTTCAACTTCCGGGAAGATGGCGCTGCTGTGCATGGCCTGCCCTCCACCTCTGTCTGCAGTGATTGTGTTTTTTCTGTTTTTTGTCATTTTTCACCTACAACATCGACTCACTGCTGGTTTATGAACGTCATCAACTCCTAAATCTCCGACTAGCTGCCACCAGTCTTGCTTTGTTTGATCATAATGATCGTAACTCTGGACCCCCTCTTGGACCCCAACCTCTGCTTGAAGACGTTCCTGTTTACCTCCGACATGGTATCCTGCTTGCTTGAAGACATCGCTCCAGGCGCCGTGGAAAACGGGCCGGCCGTCTTGTGAGGATCAAAGCCTGCCGAGCTGCTGCTGCGGCTTCCTCTTCAACCGAGGACCACATCTTAAATCACCTGTCCTGGTGCTGCGCCGATCCACCTGAGTCCTTCCCGGTCCCACGGGTCGGGTCGCGCTTCCACAGCAGACCTGTTCGCTGCGGCTGAGCTTCCGGTCATTGGAGTCGTGGGTCGAACTCCACAAATCTGAGACTGCTGGTCTTAACTTCATGGACAACTTCTCCTGCTGTGATTCCTACAAGGATTGCCCTGATAAACGCCAGATCTCTGGCTAATAAAACGTTCATCTTGAAGGACTTTTTCTCCTCCACCGGTCTGGACTTCTTCTGTGTGACTGAGACATGGCTCTCCTGTGGTGAGTTCATGGCCCTGTTGGAAATTTTACCACTGGACTGTTCTTATTTTAATGCTCCGAGAACATCAGGCAAAGGTGGTGGATTATTAACTATTTTCAAAAAACGATGGAACTGCAAACTGGTACAGATACCAGCTAATTTTTTGAGCTTCAAAGTGCTGTGTTTTGAGGTGGGCCGTTCAAATCCTGTTTTTTCTGCTGTGTTATCCAGGCCACCCAAATATAATAAGGACTTCATGGCTGAACTCTCTGACGTTTTAATTTGGATTCTGCTCAGATATGATCGGGTTTTGATTCTGGGAGATTTCAATATACATGTCTGTTGCCCTAAAAAGCCGCTGACTCAGGACTTTCTTGATCTGATCCAGTCTCTGAACTTTGTACAGAATGTTGCAGCAACTCACCAGCATGGCCACACACTGGATTTAGTATTAACCTTTGGTTTATCTGTTTCTGAGTTAGAAATTGGGGATGCAGTTTTCTCTGACCACAAACTCATTTCTTTCAACACTTCTTTTGTCAACGAGTCCAAACCCCCTCCCCCTCCAGCCAGGCCTTGTCGAATATTTAACCCTTCCACTGTTGCGCTCTTTTCATGTGCTTTTGCTTAAAACTCTCTCTCAGTCTGTGAATCCTCTTCCATGAACACCCATGAGCTAGTCACTGTACATCAAGAGTCCTGTGCTAAGGTGCTTGACCTAGTTGCACTATTAAAAATTAGGCATCCAAAGCGCACTCCACACCCTTGGATGAATGAGATCACTCGCGCAGCCAAACATCAGTGCAGGAAAGCCGAACGTAAATGGAAGAAGGACAAACTTCATGTTTCTTTTATCATGCTAAAATCATGTTACAAAGAGTACCAGGCCACTGTTAAATCAGAAAAACACAAATATTTCTCACAAATCATTGCCTCAAACAGCTACAATCCCCGCATTCTTTTCAATACCATTAACAACATTTTAACCGTGCCTCATTCTGCCAACAGGGAGGTCTCTGCAGTTATGTGTGACGACTTTGCCAGTTTCTTTGTTAAAAAGGTTGAGTCGATCAGGTCACCGATTCCTCACACCACAGCTGACCCCTCTGTCTTTGTCCCCTCCACATCAGCCTTTAACCAGTTTGAACCCATTTCCCTCTCATTTCTAAATGATGTCATTGGTCATATGAAACCCTCAGGTTTCCCTGCTGACCCCATCCTGACCCCTGACTCTGGTCAGTCTGTAGTCCTGGTACTCCTTGACCTTACCGCTGCATTTGATACTGTGGACCACAGTATCCTTTTATCCTGGCTAGAACACTGTGTTGGGATTACTGCCATCGTTTTTTAAACAAGTCCTACCCTCCATTGGAAACTCTGTTCTTGAAATTATAAACAGCAGTATGGCTACAGGTGCAGTTCCTGGTGCTTTAAAACCTGCAGTGGTAACTTCTTTAATAAAAACCCCGGACTTGTCCCTTCAGTCTGCTCAAACTTCAGACCCATCTCCAAACTTCACTTTCTTTCTAAGATCCTGGAGAAAATAGTTTTCACTCAATTAAATGAGTTCTTGAGTGGAAATTCTATTCTTGAGATCTTTCAGTCTGGCTTTAAGAAACTACACAGCACCAAAACAGCCTTATTTAGGGTCTGCAACGACATTCTTCTGGCAAATGACTCTGGTCAGTCTGTAGTCCTGGTACTCCTTGACCTTACCGCTGCATTTGATACTGTGGACCACAGTATCCTTTTATCCTGGCTAGAACACTGTGTTGGGATTACTGGTGCAGCGTTAAGCCCCCAGTATACTGCCGCGTACATCCATACGCATAGGTACGCATGTACGTACACAGAGGTACGTGCGTACCCCCAGTGTACCCTCCGTGCAAAGCTCAAATTTTTACTACCACATACGCGGTGTTGCACAATAAACTGCCCAGCGACGGACTGTTTTGTATGCGACACCAATGTATTAAATTCCCCTTCTTCATCCCTGATCTGGCCTTTTCTTTTGATTTTTTGCCAAGAGGCAGTGATCTCTTCCTCCTCCGTTGATGTCATGACTGAAATGGTGAGAAATGGAGGAATTTGTCACAAGCGAATTAAACTCAGATCCAGCATGGCTGCGGGAGGGTCTGGAGATTTCCTGGTGTGCTGGTCTGATGTGTGGGCTGTAGAGCCAGCGCTCCCTGTTTTTTTATTTTTTAGATCTTTTTATTAGCAACATATAAACACAGAACACCGCTGCAGCGGAGGCTGCCAGCACTCGCTTTTTTCTTTTTTCCGACCTGTCAATCAATCCAGTAGGCGTGTCAGCAAATGACCAATCAGCGACCTCAATTTGTCCCGAAGGTAAACGCCCCTTGTCTGTGAAGCTGCTCTGCAGCTGCTCGGGGTGTACGCTGGAGTATGAAGTCTGAACCCTCTGCGTACAGTACACGCGTACGTATGCGTGAACGGACGTACGCGGCAGTGTACTGGAGACTTTAGAATGGTTCCATTCATACCAGAGCGACAGGAGTTTCTGTGTTAATTTTGCTAACACTCTATCTACTTCAGTGCCTCTTTCCTGCGGGGTCCCGCAAGGCTCCATTCTTGGACCCCTTCTGTTTTCTTTGTATCTCCTCCCCTTAGGGTCTATCCTGAGGAAACATGTTCTTTCCTTTCATTGTTATGCTGATGACTCTCAGAGTTATCTACCGTTAACACCTAACAGTTCCTCCTCCATTTGCCCTATGTTAAAATATCTTGATGACATCAAGACTTGGATGGCTGCGAACTTTTTGAGTTTTAATGATCAGAAGACTGAGGTAATTGTGTTTAACCCTAGCTCTGCCACTGTCACTGATCCTGCAAACCTGGACTCCCTTCAGCCATATCTAAAACAGTCTGTTACCAATCTCGGGATAGTTTTAGACTCGGACTTTAAGTTTAACAAGCAGATAAATTCTGTTCTTCAAAAAAGCTTCTTTCAGCTAAGGCAGATAGCTAAGCTCAAGTCCGTCCTGTCCAGATCCGACCTTGAAAAATTAGTCCATGCATTTATTACAACCCGGCTGGACTACTGTAACTTGCTTTATGCTGGGGTCAGTCAGGTCTCTCTCTCACGTCTCCAGCTTGTCCAAAATGCTGCAGCTCGGCTACTAACAGGAACTCGCAGGTTTGAGCACATTACTCCAGTTCTGTCCTCTCTTCACTGGCTTCCTGTGCGTGTCAGAGTTGATTTTAAGATTCTTCTGCTGACATTTAAGTGTGTTAATGGCCTTGCACCCTCATACCTCTCCGACCTCCTTCATCCTTATACTCCTTCTCGGGCCTTGAGATCATCAGACCAGCTGCTTTTGGCCGTACCAAAAACCAGGCTGAAGCTCAGAGGAGATCAGGCGTTTTCAGTCATGGGCCCTAAACTCTGGAATAATCTGCCCATCAACATTCGACAGGCCACTTCAGTCTCTACTTTTAAATCTCTCCTCAAAACACATCTGTACTCATTGGCATTTAACACAGTGTGATCTCATTTGGTATTTCGTTGTTGATGATTGTGTTCATCCATTTTGCTTTTACTCCCTGACAGTTAACGCAGGGTGATTTGATTTAGTATTTCATTGTTTCTCATTATATTTCATTGTTTTTATGCTTTTATTCATGTTGCTGTAATATGTTGTTATTAATATATGATGCTGTGATCTTTTTTGGTAAGCACTTTGATAACAGTTACTGTTTTAAATGTGCTATATAAATAAATGTGACTTGACTTGACTATCATGACAGCTATTTTGTAAATGATCAACTACTGCACCTAATATTAAACACAAATCAACAAACATCTGATGTGACATCAACATCATTATACTTTATGTGGAAATATTCAATTAAAAAAAGTATTTTTCTAAATGCAAGTTGTTTGTCACAGCTGGTTCCTGCTGGCACGTGAGAAACACTTACTTTGCAGAGGAGATGACGACTGAATGCTGATCAGAGTTGAGGATCTTTGTTAGGTGAGCAGCTACTGAATCTTCATATGCTGAAATGTGAAACTGTTAAAAAAAACACAAACACAATTTTCAACTTGCTGTGTAGGAGATTTGCTTTTCTTTGTCCAGCTGTGATTCTGAGCTAAGGGAGAAACGCATCTGTGTGGAGGCTCTGCTGTGAAGATCCATCACCTCCTGCGAGTACCTGGCAGTCATCCGCTCCCTCGGGGGTGGTGGGACAGCTGTGTTTGGGTGGGATCTTGATCTCGTAGGTCATGATGCTCCAGCGGTCTAACATCTTGGTGCTGGCCCTCTCCAGTTTCTCCAGGATCTGTGGCAGCTGAGTGTCATCATCGCACGATGGACCCCATCCTAGCACCCGCGCCAGATCATTACCTGTGCCCAGGGGCAACACTCCCAGCTGGCACTAAAACACAGGCAGAAGTTTTTTTTATTTCATTTTATTTTTTGCATCAGTGCTCTACTGCTTAGAAATACAAATATTTTTCTAGTAGTGTTTTATTTTATATATTCTAACAGTTTCAGCAGATTCTACTTCCCAACTTTTTATCAAATCAAATGATTACAACTAAGTTTTTTAGATGATGATGTTTATTTTGGTTTGGTAGTAGCTGAGATTGATTCACAACTTGCACTCTTCAGATAGAGCAAAATCTTTGATGAAAACTTCACCAGTTTCTATTTAGAGTTTATCTGTCTGTCTTGTAGCAAAAAAGTAAGCACCTTGCTCATGGGCCCAGAGTGGGGCAAATGAGGATGGAGGCAGGTGTGGATGATTCACCTTTTCCACCCACATTTTGATGTTGTCCGTGCAGGGAGTTGAACCAGGGAGTTGACCGGCGACCCTCGGATCGTAAATCCACCCTCTCTGTGCCACCACTCCCCCATTATTATTATTATTATTATTATTGAGGGTAATAAACAAAACAAAACAAAAATAGTGGGTTTACACAAAAACGCTGTAGTTTCCATTTCAGTCAGGTTGCCAGATAAGAAATGATGAACTATAGTTCTGTGGCTTTAAAATTATAGTATTTTGAGCTAAACTGTCATAAGTGCTGAGTAAAGATATTCTAAGATGAGGTGTGTGTTGTGTTTGTTGAGCATGTGCACAGAAAAGGAGGGGTTTAATAAGACATTTTAAAAAATATCTGGCAACCCTGATACAGGGCTCAGCTACATTCATTGTGCAGCGTTTGCATGAGTTACGTCTCTTTGGAGCCTGGATTTTATGAACGTAGTTTTGCTCCTACATGCTGAAAAAGGGTGAGTAGCACAACAACACTCTGCTCTCTGCCATCTATTATAACTGTTGTTATTTATTTATATAACTGTTGTTATTTATTATAACTGTTGTTATTGATTATAACTGTTGTTATTGATTATAACTTGTTATTTATTATAACTGTTGTTATTTATTATAACTTGTTATTTATTATAAC